CCCATGGCTGCTCAGTGGAACCCCTGCCGCCCCGAGACTAGTGTCAGGTCCCTGAGTGCAGCAGCACCTTTCACACGGCTTCATCCTCATCCTCATCCTCATCCTCATCCTCATCCTCATCCCCGGCTGCTCCCCCGTCGCTACAGCATGAGCCCTCGCACCCTCGCCTTCCTGCTCTCCCCTGCTCGTGCCTCGGCCTTCACTCCCTGTCCAGGTCCAGACCTGCCACGTCACCGTCTCCATCAGCGTGGTTGATGTAGATGTTCAGTTGTTCGGTGGTCTCCTGTCCTGGTGGTGTTGAAGGGCTGTGAAGAGCTGCAGAGAGACTGGGGTGGCCTCCTGTCTCGGAGCCAGGCTCCTGCCGGCTCTGTCTCCTTGTCCAGCTGTTAACGGTGCTCAGAGGGTGCTGGCCAGCAGTGTAATCCGGCCCAGGGAGCCTAATGGAAGATATGAGGCAGTGGATGTAAGAAAAAGGACGTAACAAGGGCTGGTGAATTTTAGAAACAAACTGCCCAGCTGCGTTGTTGAAGCTGATTCCACTGGATCTTCCAAGAAAAAGATGGATGAGACCCTGGGATCAGTGAGGCACTAGCGCCCCGAATGCAGCAGCCTTCAAACGGCCTCAGTGGCTCCTCTCGTTTGTGACATGCCTTCTGTTCTGAAACCGAGAGATCTGAAGGAGGTGTACCCCGCTTTTCTGTCATTTCATGAGCTTTCAGACTTACTATGAAGCAGTTGGGAAGTCAGGGAATGTAGCCCAGTTAAAATGCCACAGCCGAAAATGGCCCTGAAGCTCCTGGTTTTGCACCAGCCGGTCGAGAGTCTTCACAGCTCGTCTCCTGTCAGCCCGGGCCCGTGGTCCTGCCGGATCCGGGTTCTGTTCTGCTGTGTATCTGGGTTCCTGTCTGTGGTATCTGTGTCTCATCAACCTGGTGTCTACAAAAGCTGAAAATCTATTTTAAAAAACTGCTCTGGGATGTTGTTAATCTGACCAGAGCTGTTCGGCACTCTGTTACTGGAAAAACGCTATTAAACTCTTCGTGTGCCAAACTTGGCCAAAAAAAAGGCTTTTTCCAACAGATGGAGCTGCATAGAAATGAAGATTTGCGGGAGTTTATTGCATTAGGAAGGCAGCAGACTGCACCTTCCAGAAAACAGGAGGTGTGATGTCAAGGCTCCAGAGCTACCACTGGGTCTGCATCTTGGCGCTTTGCAGAGTGCTGAGGCAGTCTCTAAGAGACCACTTGATAGCAACATTGTACTGCAAAGTTAGGGCTTCTTTCATGAGGCAGTGTCTCACTTCTTCCATGCCTCATGGCATTGTATGACCAGGGACTGCTTGTCCTTTCAGCAAAGAGTTGGAATTGAGAGGCAGAAGTGTGAGGGGTGACCTCTGTCTGACACACCCTACCATGCAATCAAACTGAAAGAGCTGCTTACAGAAGATGGAGCCGTTAACTTCAGTGAACCACAAACCCCATAAATATCAAAATATGAGCTGATCCTGATGCCCAGCCGTTAGACCCTGTTTTTGTGGACATCTGGCTCACAAAACACCTCTCCTTTCGAAGCAGAATAGCAAGTCCACACATCCCTCCTCTTGTTTAAACAAGGTAACAATCTCAAAATCAGCTCAGGCTGGTTGGATGGGATGGTTTCTGTCCCTGCGAGCAGGCTGACTCACAGGGCAGTCGCTAACAGGATGTGAAGAGAGGCCAGACATCTCCCAAAACCCGCCTCGGAGCAGACCCTAGCAGGACGTCTCGGGGTAAGTGACCGGCCCCCGTCAGTCCTGCTGCCAACCTGCTGTGCTGTTTCCTGTGCAGAAGCTGCTGGGCAACTCCCTGCTGAAGCTGGAGGGGGATGACCGTCTGGACATTAACTGCACTCTGCCCCTGACCGACCAGGTAAACGCGGTGCGTGAGTGGGGGGTGCGGGGGTCTCTCTCTGTGTTTCTCATGGGGCAGCCGTCCGCGGGGGGCTCCCGGGGGCTCTGGGCCGGGCGAGGGCGGGGCAGGAGAACTAGGCTCCTGCGGTGTGTGAGGTAGTGTGGGTTGACCAGTAGGGGGTGCTCTCTTCCCTCTTGTTTTTCTGTATACCTGGAGTTTCAGGGAGGTCCTAGTTAGTAGTAGTA